AGCTGGACCTGTGGGACTTCCTGGAGTCTCTGTCCCACCTTTGCCGGCTCCCTCCCTACTCAGCTCCTCTGAGGCAACACCTGCAGCCCCCAACCCCACAGTCACCATTACCTTACGCAGGCTTATGACCTCACTGAACATGATATTGAAACGGAAAAGCTGAGGATGGCCCTCAAATCCCTATCCATGACCTGGTAAACATGGCGTTTAAACGTTTTAACACCCGAAAGGAGCAGACAGAAGCACGTGCAGATCCCAGGCTCACCAGAAAGCTAATTAGCAAACCCAAGCCCTAATCACCTCTCTAAGGCCAGCAGGAGGGAGGGTCAGCTGCCAACGGAACCACTGAAAAAGCGGCTGCCCCTCAGCACCTGGCCCAGGAGAGTCAGTCCCTTCAAACTCCGACCAGCTTACCTGCTGCCCGGATCTTTACTGCAACCCGTGACCCCCCTGCCAGCCCAGAGTAGGGTTTCTTTCTTGGGGACTGCCTTTTTAATCCCCTCCCCTCCTTCTTGGACCCAACTTCCCCTTTCCCTGTCTGCATTATGGGAGCTGATGGTCACCCCTGCAGGCCTTTAGTCACCCAGCTTGTCAGCGTTCATTTGCCTTTTCCTGCAGCTGTCCTACAACAGCTCTAAGGGAGTGCGGAGGGGAACCCAAAGCCCATCTGTAGGCCACTGGACATCTCCTTACCGAAGGGTCTCGGGGAGGAGACGAGCCAGTCAGGGTGCAGATCCCAATTCTACCTTACAAATCTGGCTAGACCAGAGGATGTACACTGGTACAGACAGGAACTGGAAACAGGGAATCCAGGACAGATAATCCCTTCAGGACCAGTGCTGAGAGGGGTGATACCAGGAGGGTGGAGGGGTAAACAGTATGGTGTGTTCTTAAACAAATGTGAACAGAAATACCATATGAGCCTGCAATCGCTCTACTTGGTCTATACCAATACGAATATATATGTATATATGCATATGCACACACCATGTTTATCACAGCAGTTTCTATAATTGCAAAAAGATGGGATCAACCAAAAAGGCTACCTGTTTAGGAATGGATAAACTCTGGTGCGTGCACATAATGAAATATCATACACCTCTTAAAAACAATACTGACACTGTCAAATGCCTCATCACATGACAAATTTGAAAGACATTATACTTAAAAAGTTTAGTCAACATCAAAAAGATAAATACTGTATGACACCATTATTATAAAGGATAAGAAGTGGGCAGAGTGGACACCCAAAGCCCATCTGTAGACAACTGGACATCCCCTCACACAAGGGTCACAAGGGACAAGCCAGCCAAGGTGCAGCATAGCAATGAGGAAACACAACATTCCTCTAGTTTTCATGCTTCCCCTCCCCCACCCCACTATCATGACCCAAGTTCTACCTTACAAACCCAGGTAAACCAGAACACGTACACAGGTACACATAGAGCTCTCTGGACACACGGAATCCAGGACAGATAAGCCCCTCAAGAACGATAATGGGAGTCCAATACCATGAGGGCAGCGGGTGAGGTCGGGGGAGAAAGGGGAAATCGATCACAATGATCGATATATAACCCCCACCCCACCCACCCCTACCTCCAGGGTGACGAACAACTTGGATGAAGGGAGGCAGCTGATGGTGTCAGATATTAAAATAATAATAATTTATCAAGGGTTCATAAGGGTGGGAGAGGGAAGGGAAAAATGAGGAGCTGATACCAAGGGCTCAAGTAGAAAGAAAATGATTTAAAAAGGATGATGTCAACATATGTACAAATGTGCTGGACACAATGGATTTATGGATTGTTATAAGAGCTGTTAAGAGCCCCCAATAAAGGGATTTTAAAAATTATAATAAAATAAAAAAGGAAAAGAAAACTAAAAAATAGTTTTCACACCAAAAGAAACAGATTTAAAAAAAAAAAGAAACAGGTTTAGAAGGCTATGGAGAAACATGGAAGTCAGGGATGAGTGGGGGAGGGGAGAGGTCAGGAGGGAAAAAACTTAGAAAAAGCAAAACCACCATGATCAAGTGGGTTTCACACCAGGCTAATTCAACATTAGCAAAACAAGCAGTACAATCCATCCCATCAATAAAACATGAAAATAACTACATGTTATCAGTTGATGCAGAAAACTGATTTTGGCCTTTGATAAAATCCAATACCCTTTCCTGGTTAAAAAAATTTTTTCAACAAAATGGGAACAGCAAACTTCAAACTCCTATTTGTATATTAAGGATTCTGAAAAGGAAATTGAAAGCACAATACCATTTATAATAACTACCCAAAAGATAAAATACTTAGGAATAAATCTAACAAGATGTGTTACAAAAGACTTACACAAACTATAAAACATTTCTATAAGAAGCCAAAAGAGGCATATGCAAATGGAAGAATGTCCCATGCGCATGAACAGGAAGATGTAATATCGTAAAAATGTCAACAGTACCAAAAGCACTCTAAAGCCTATACATTGCTGATCCAAGTCCCAGCACACTTCTCAAAGAAATAGAAAAACTAATTTAATATGGAATGGAAAGAAATCTAGGGCAAACAGGACACTACTAAAAAATAAAAACAAAGTAGGAGCCCTTTCACTCCCCGAGTTTAAAAATTATTATATAGCTACGGTAATCAAAACCGCTTGGTATTGGTGTGGCAATAGATTGCAGACCAGTGGAAAGGATAGAGAACCTAAATATACAACCCAGCACCTGCAGACACCGCCTCACATGGACACTCAGCAAAATTTTAAAACAAACAAAAGGCTGGAGAAGCGGTGGAGAGCTTGGAACACTCACACACTGCTGGTGGGATTACAGAATTGTAGACCTACTGTGGAAAACACATGGAGCTCCCCTAACAAATGCAAACACAAACATCTTATGGATCCTGCGGTTTCTGTACTTTATGCTACCCTAAAGAAATAAAGAACACAGCACAGACATATGCACACCATGTTCACCGCAGCAATTTCTGTAATAGCAAAAAGATGGCAACAATTAAAAAAAACCTTATCTGTGGAGGAATGAATAAACAAACTGGAACATCCACACACGCGATAGAATACTGTGCATCCTTAAAACACAAGGACGAGCCTGTCCAGCACCTCGTGATAAGGGCAAGAGTGGAGGAGGGCATTGTGCTCAGCAAAGGTCATCGATCTCATAAACAGTTCATACCATTATTACAAAGGAAAAATACGGCGGGAAAATACTTTTAAAGTTGACGACTGTGCCAGGGGCAGCAGGGTGGAGTTAGGATGGGTATGGAAAGAACAACGAACCGTATGGGGGACAGTGCGGGAGGGGCGTGTGACGGGGATGCGGTCACTGTTTGTGCAGCTACACAGGCGATGTTTTCCTTTGTGTGTCACGGACTGTTCATAACGAGCACGCGAGAGAAGGGTCAGGGCCTGCACAGACCCCCTTCTTCTTTACAGCCGGTACAGACACTGCTCTGAGCGGTTGTAAAAGAGAAAAAGCAAACCTGAAACGTAAAGTATTTTACGACACACCGTCTAATTTAAAACAGCAACAAGAAATCTTCAACACCTCAACAAGAAGAAAGACACATCACCCGACCAGGTCTGAGGGCCGGGACAAGAACTTCCTGAACTCCTGCCCTTAAAACGGGCGGAGGACTTGCACAGGCAGCAAACATCTGAAAGGCTGTCCGAGACCATCGCCACCTGGAGTGATGAAAATCAAGAAAGTGAGGGTGCAGCTGTGTAAACTGATTTACTTACTGTAGCTAGCCTCACACCAGTTTTCCCGATTGTGGTGAGCCTGATTTCAGCATGTTTTCTTTGACTCCCACTGGAGTCTCTTTAGAATCTGTATTCACTTGCTGCATTCATTGCTCATGAGGCAAATATTTCCTGAAAGAGATTGCAGATAACTCTGAGACTCACCCTTGTCATATAATAATTCTTGTTATCTGGTTAGCCAAGAGAGGCATCCTAGGCTGGCCAAAGATTGAAAGAATTGTATTGTTTTGACTGCTTGCTCATGGTCAACATGCTCTCTATCCCATGGTTATCCTAAAACCCAGTAAAACCCCTGTAGATGACTTCCCCAAGTAACAAATATATAAGCTCTGTATTCTGAACACAGTGGGGTGTCATCAAAGCAGAGTGCTTTGCTGTCTGCCTCTCTGCTATTGACCCCCTGCAATAAACTACTTTTTCTAACTTGGACTCGGTGAAATGACTCTCCTATGCCAGGCACCAAACCTTTTGAGAGGTAACAAAAATTCAGTCTCGCTCCATGGAGCTGATCCTGATGCATTGTGACTCGGTAGGCAGGGTAGAACTGCTTACGAGTGTAGAAAGCCTCGTCTTTCGCTCATAGGGCTGCTGGTGGTTTTGAACTGCTGGCCTGAGGTTAGCAGCCCAACGCTTAATCCATGTCGCCACCAGGCACCATTGGCCTAGTTTGAAACCGCAGAAAATGACAAACACTGGAGGGGCTACGAGCCTGGAGCCCTCACGCCCTGCTGGTGGGACTGTCAAATGGCGCCACCCCTGAGAACGGCCTGGTGCTTCTTCTAAAGTGGGGACAAGAAATGCCCCAGGACCTGGTGGTTCCTGTGGGCCCATTCCCATGGTGCCTTGTTGGGCGAACTGACAGCCGCGATGGAGGAAGAGTGCCCTAAGCCAGATTTCTGTAACCTGGACTGAGCATCCACTTGACAACCAATCGCTGGGGACGAGAACAAACGCTGTGGGAGCCCCAAACTCGGTGGGCGCTGCAGGACACGGGGACGCCGGTGGAGGGAGGGTGCAGGCCAGGCACCCTCAATCACCTCAGCCGCAGTGAAACTAGGCCCCCCGAGCAGCGCACTCTGATGAAACCAGGCTGAGGAAGGACCCCGCACGCCCCAATAAAGCCGGTGCCCACTGGCCTGCGGGCCAATCAGCCGTGGGCTCGCGCAAGGTGTGGTGCACTTCTGCACCTTACAGTAAACCTGAGCTTTCCAGGAAAAACAAAACAAGAGTGTACAAAAGGTCGATTTATTTACCTCTTTACGGTAGGATTCGCGTGCCCTTTAAAGGCCTGCCATCCAAGTACAAATGCTTGTTTACAAAGTATTTACAATTTGTCTCATTCGTTCATATTTTAAAACTCAACAGCGTTCTGGTTACAGGAGGTAACATCAACAATGAAGACTGCAGAAGGTGGCCTCTGCCTGCCAGGCCCACACCTGAACAGGAGTGGGGTCCCCACCTGTACTGCCCAAATGGCTCTCCCAACAAGCAATGCCAATGAGAGCTAAGCCTGGCAGTGGTTTCTGGCTGCTGTTTGTTTTATATTCTATGCCTCTGAATCACTATGTGTGGTATTAGTATGGATCCTGATTAGCAAGTAAAGCAGAATGTAGCTACCAAGAGTGGTCTGAGGGCCTGGACAAGAACTTCCTAAACTCCTACACTTACTATCAGTCTTAGATGTGGAAAATTTAACCAACCTGCAGAGGGAGCCAGAAGGGAGACTTTTTTTTACTATCTTGAATCCTACTCAGGTCACTGTCAACATCTAAACGTTACTAAGTCAAGCACAAATATTTCTGTTGCTTACTTTGCACTGGGGAACACATTGCAGGCAGGACAGTCTTTCTGCTCACACTAACAAGAAAAGGCAGGGCTCTCCCCCTGCTGGTGATCAGAACCCAGCCGTGTTCTCTGCGGAGCTGCCGTTTGTCTCTCCCTGGGGCCCCAGGTCACAGGGGCTTTCACGTTCTAAAGCAGTGTTGTCATATGAGAGACCACTGACCAACGTGCAGGACAGAGCAAGGGATCAGGTGAGGGTGGAAGTAGCTGGGCGAGGGGTGGCTGTGTACTCAGCTCTGCCTGTGAAGAAGAGCCGTGGGCAGTCCTGGCCCTGTGGGCACCCGCACAGAGCGTCCTCGGCCGGCCCCATCACACTGGCCACAAAGATTGAGTTTGCTGTCAGGGAAGAGGCTCTACTAAATCGGTTTTGGTATTTTCAATCTTCTAAACTGTTAATTCCTTTTTCAACACTAGAGTTTTATAATTTCTCATCAGGAACTAAATAATCCCACCCCCACCCCCAAATGTGGCCTCATTGCTGTGGCTCGGCTGATGTCTGCGGACTGACATGGGAGAGACGGCAACAGGACTGACGCCTGCCTTCATGTTCCTGCAAGTGCCAAGACAGGGAGGGCACACCTTTCCAAACAACATACAAACAAGTTTTCAGAACAGACTCAGTGCACAGCTAGCTACCTCATGTCACCCCACTTCTTGGACCAGACCAGCTGCCACAGCCACATCTGTCCACAGCAGGTGGACACTCATACTTCACTTCTGGTTTTGGTGAAAAACTTTTAAGATGAGAAGACGCCACTTGTCAATCAACATCCTTAAACTTGTATCTGAGGTCTTACGGTCATCAAGTAGAACGTAGTAGATCCTGGGCTCCCTCCCCAACAGGGCACACCTCCCCACCCTGCCAGGCACAGCAGAGGCCCAGAGGGGGCCAGCCTGCTGGACTCAAAGAGACCAGTGTTCTTATCTGTCATTATGCTGTTTTGCCACGTCTACGAGAAGGGTAGACATGGACCCTTCTCTGTGTTAACACTTCCAGGTTCTCCAGACAAGGCCCAGGCTAGGGCAATTGGGGTGGGTCTGGGACAACTCGCCCCCACTTCAGCTGACACCACCCACGTCCACCACTCAGCTAACAGAGTAACAGGGCAGCATGGTGGCGCTCAGGTGCTATCATGGGTCTTACATTTGTCAAGATATGCATGTCACCAAGGTCGTGGAGGGAAATCAGCACAGTCCACGCCAGGGCAGGGGCAGCAGCAGCAGCAGCAGCACAAATGTGCGTGTGGCTCTCAGTGCAGGTCCCTGTGCGTGACCACATGACAGGTGGGGTGGGCTACACTGGCTCCTCTGGAATGAGATGCAAGCACAGCTGGGGGTATATCATGACTGTGCTCTGACAGGCATCAGTCCCAGACACGCCCCGTCACAACGAACACACGTCACCTCTGTCGGGGCAGGAAGAGAAGCACACAGCCTTCTCTGCGCTGAAACCTTCTGGGCAGGAAGAGAATGTGCTTCTCAGACCCGCGGAGAGCCATGCACTGCACGCTCCAAAGGGCCATATCACGTGCAAACACCACACGGATGGAGAAGGAAATGAAAACTGAAGGCTTCATAGAAGTTGCCACTGTCACCTTTTCCGTGAGTCACACAATACAGAGCAGGGGCACTGGACGGGCTTGTTCTTGAGTGCGGGTACACTGTAACAGAAGGACCACGCACCCTGACTCGAGGACAGCTGTCCCAGTGTGGGGCACCTTATGTGACACTGTCCGAGGTTTGGACTGGCGGGACGGTTTCCGAGAGGCGGCAGACATGTGTGCAGGATGGTGAGGCATCTGGGTCATCTGCTTTCAGCCCACTCACTGGCACGGAGGCTTGGTGGGGGTCTTCAACCTGACAGCGGGCACTCGCATCTGTAGTTTGGGCTGTGGACTCGGGCTCTCAGAGCTGGCCGGGCCGTGGGCTGGGTTGGGGACCCCAGGGCTTTGAAGCTGGGTGGACGCTGGGCTCACGACTTGCTGCTGGACGAGCTTTTGTTGCACCACCTGGGCCGTGGCGGTCACCGTGGGGATCATCTGGACCTGCTGGCCAGCTGTAGTCGCCTGTGTGAGCGTAACTGTCTGTGGAGAGGCCTGCACGGAACATCGGAGAAGACACACAAGCTAGAACCCTGGATACAGCAACACCTCTCCACACCGCCCCCAGCATCCTCCAGAGCATTAGAAAGACAGCCTTGCGAAGAGTCCCGTGCACAAGAACCCAGCCTCCCACTGTTCTCTTTGATCTTACAATGCTGTGTGTGTGTGTTTATGTGTACACACACAAACAGACAAAACAGACCAAAGACCCATTCAGTCTTCTGGAAAGAGTCCCTGTGCACGAGAACCCAGCCTGCCCAGAACTCACCTGCTGGGACGCTGTGGCCACCTGTGGGATGCTGGCCACAGCTGTTTGCTGCTGGACCACTTGGGGGAGTTTTGCAACCTTTGACGAGAGAGAAACCCACATGTAGCACACGAGTATGTGCAGAGACAATGAGCTCCCTTCTCCCCGTCTCAATTTTGTATGCAGAAAAACCACCACCAGATGACACCGCAAATGGCCTCATGGAGCAGAGGCAGTGCCTGTGGGACCCTGGCTGTGTGAGGTCTTGGGTGGTGTGAGATTTGTTTCGTAGAATTCATAAGAGAGGCTACGAAATAGGAAATGTAAGTAATGTTAGGAGACTTGAGGGCGGATGAGAAGGAGCCGCTTCCAGAGACCCTGCCAGGGATACACCTCTGGGCCTGTGGCTCTAATGCCAGCTGAGAGGGAGTTTTCTGCTGTACTACTTACTGGACAGGAATACGGTGGGATTAAATCTAGTAGAGGGTGTGACTTAAGTACCACCGTGTTTTCTCTCCTTCATTAAAGCCATCCCTGTGTAACAGCCATGTTGGCACCACGGAAGACGAGCCAGCAGTGGAGCATGTTCTAGATCTGTCCGAAGCGGCAGAGGCTGAGATCACAGGCCCCAGAGGCTGAGGCATGGAGGTCATGACACAGAACGAAGCAAAAGCTTGACCGCCATGCGACTGTGAGGCAGAGCATAGCTGGGCTTCGTGGCCCCTGTGGGCCATGAGGCAGGCAGACGCCAAGGGACCACATGATGAAGAGGCTGAGGACCGGAAAGAGAGTTAGCTGCTGGCCGAGGAGAGGTGCTACTGTGAACCAGTAACTCTCCTTACGGTTTCTTGATCCAGACTTGTGGTCACGTGTTAACTTCCCTAATACACCCCTCTAGTTGTGAGTTTGTCTGTGAATCTTGTATGGCCGCTGCAACCAATTCTCAAACCCTGGAGGGAAACGGCGTGCTATGGGAGGAAAGACTGGTGCTAAGAAGGGGCAAAGAAAGATGGAGGGGTAGGCCACGTCTGACCCTTGCCTTGGGGCAGCAGGAAAGCCAGAGGAGGGCAGCGACAGCCCCTCAGCACCTTTCTCACAGTGGAGAACACAGGCCGAGGCACCATCCTAACAGAAGACAACTGGTGAGAGACGGGATGGGAGAGCCGACAGCTTAGCATTGACTTGTCATGGAGGAGGCCGCAGAAAGATAAGAAGAGCAGTTCAGAGGGAGCGAGGAGAGACGGGTTTCCTCTGCAGCACAGGGACAATCCACGACCGATAGGGGAAGCTAGAACACGGGCAATGGTGTAGTAAGAGCACAAACCCCTGGCTAGAGCGCAGAGGTAGGCAGAACACCTTCTGTGAATCCCAGTGAAGAGGCGTTTTCAAACACGGAGGGAAACTCCAGAGAGGCCGAGTGCCCTGGTGGGAAGGTCAGGGTCCCATGAGGACAGCGGCAACCTTTACTGTGAGGAGCAGAGGCTGCCGCCGTGTGAACAAGAAGACCCCGCTCAGAGAGAGGCCCGAGGCGAGGGACCTGGATGCCTTGAGAAGCTGTTGAGCATGTGGGATCCCAGGGCGAACGTGAGGGAGCAGAGAGGGGATTTGAGAAAAGAATAAAGAAAGAGCTCAAAAGGAAGTAAGGCAGGAGAGGAGCAAAAAGAAAACAAGTGGACAAACAAAGCCCAAGGGGGGCTGAAAGACCAACTGCCCCGGAACTCAGAACACAGGGGCAGACAGAGTGGAGAGCAGCAGGGGCATGGGGGAGGCCTGCACAAGCCTAGTGCAGAGCCACTGTAGGAGTTGGGGAGAACGACCAAGTGGAACAGGGGAGAGGAGGCTGCAAGAAGGGGGAGATGTGCACATGGGAGGGGAGCGAATGGCATGGGTGCCTGTGAGGGAGGCAGTGGTGTGTGCATAAGAAAGGTAAGGGCTTGTGGGTGTGTGGGTGTGTGAGTGGGGGAACAGGGAATGGCACGCACGTGTGCCTGCGGAGGAGGCACTGATGTGAGTGTATGTGTGCAAGGAGCAAGCGGGACTAGCACGCATGTGGGAGCACATGTGTGCGTGTGATGCTGGCACCGGGCTTCAGGGCCCAGAGCAGGGCCATGCTCAGCAGAGGGAAGGATGGTAAGGGAGGACTCTGTGTCCGCGCTTAGCAATGTAGTGACGTTGGGGCAAAGTGATGCTGCCAAGCCCAGTCCAGGGGATCAGGATCCCAGCGATAAGAGCCCCTGGGGCAGAATGTCACAAGCAGTTACTCAGAAATGACAAACATAGGCCGCAAGTTCCAGTGCATTCACCTGAAGAAAGCCTGTGTGTCAGGTGACATCATAGAATAGGGGAGAAGATGCTGCCAGCTGGGAAGCAGAGGAAGCCTACTGCCCAGAAGGCAAAATCCAGATGGACAGAGCTGAGTGGGTTCTGTGCACAAGTGCCCAGAGCCCCTGAGATACCCTGCTCCAGAGTACAAGGGGCAACCTGACGGGGTCAGCCATTCCCGTGGGCGCATGCACGGGGGCACCACTGCTGTGGGGCAGTGAACCTGCGCCCACCACAGCACAGCTACATTGCAGCCCACATGCCCGCATCTGCACAGAAAGCAGCAAGGGCGCTGTTGCACACTGCCCTGGCGCCGCCATGCCCCCAGCTGCCCTACAGCAGAAGGTAAGGACACTGTGGTGACAGCCAAGAAGCCAAGAAGCCAAGAGGGGAGTCTCACATGCTCCACGTAGCAGGGCTGCACAAGTCAAACTCGTCCACCCACACGGTCCCTTCAGTGGCACAGGGATGTGGAAAAGCGGGTGAGTCACCAGGGCCAGGACAGAAGGTAGGTGGACGGGAGGTGGGGACTGCTATCTTCTCATGTGCACAGTGCAACCAGTTGGCTAGCACCCCAGCCCTCACACTCACTTGTATCTGGGTCTGCACCTGCTGTGTCCCCGCCAGCTTTGGGGCCTGGGAGATGGGCGTCGTGAGGAACTGAGTCTTCAGGGCTGGCTGGGTGGCGTAGGTCACCTTTTGCTGCTGGCCCTGTGCCGCCATCTGCTGCGCAGTTATCTGTGGAGCAGGCACAGGCGAGGGTGAGGGTCCGAGGTGCAGGATGGCCAGCTCAGGGAGTCAAGTTTGCAGAGAAGTAGCTGCAGGCCAGGCTCTTTTACCTCCCTCCTCCCGGCCCCCCCGGCCCCAGGAACCCACGTGGGTCACCAGCACACAGAGCCTGATGTGCTTGCAGGTCAGGCCTGACCCAGTCCCTCCAGGCGGCAGGCCTCTCCTGAGCCCCACTGAGGACCCCTGTCACAGCACACACAGGGGAGCCTCACATGACCCTGGGGTGCCCAGCACACAAACTAGAGTTCACAGCCCCAAGCCTGACACAGGCTCCACTCAGCCAACCCTCTTCCCTGGAGCCTGTGCCTACGCTGGGCAAGCCCAAACGTGACAGGGGAGCTGCGTACCTTCTGCTGCACAGCGGGGCCGGGGGCCCCCTGCGGCTGGATGGCCTTCTGCTGCTGCACGGCCTGCTGCTTGAGCTTCAGCAGCTGCTGCACATGGACGGGCTGTGCCACCACAGTCTGCCCTGCGAACGCACGGCTGTGTCAGTGGGCAGCCACGCCCTTCTACAGACTCGGCTGCCCCTCAGTCCCCCACCAGCTGTGTCTGGGCTCATCTTGGGCATTTACTCCAATGCCTGGCAGACTGGGAAGATCAAGGATTAAATCGGAGGGCCAAACGTGGACTTGGAAAGCTCAGAGATCTTTGTTCGCAGCAACACACATGCATGGGACGTGCCTTAGGCAGTCCACAGAATGGGCTGCCAAGCACCGTGTGCCGTGCGCCCCCTCTCCGAGCGTCCGCAGGGCAGACGCCCACTATCACCTGCTGCTTTCTGCGGCTGCCCGATAGCCACGCTGATCCCGGCCACGTTCATGGGAAGTGTTGTAACCCCGGGCGAGGAGACCACAGCTGCCGGCACTGACACCACGGGGGGCTTCGCCAGGGCCACCTGGGCTGTTGGGGGTGTCTGCCCTTGCATCTGCGAGGTGGGTACGCGGGTCTGCAGAGAGAGCGATGGGTGAGGCCACCTCTGACAATACAGCGAGTTCTATGAGGGCTGAGGGGCAGGCGTCCTCGGACTGGCCACCTGCCAAGGCAGAATGTCCAGTGGTGTCCAGACACAGGAGCCACTGACCTTGCCAGCCAGAGGGACCAAAGCTACAAGCTCGTGCAACTCAATCTCCCAGCTATCTCTGACCAACTGTCCTAGGCCTTCCCTACTGCCCCGTCCTTGGCTGCCCCTTCAGACCTGCTGTGGCCTATCCCTGCGTGGCATACCTCCTCGCCCAGCACCAACCTCCACTGCATCCATGGACGGCCTGGCGGCTCCACTTCCACAAGTCCACACAACAGGTCACCTGTCCTCAATCCACTCACAAATAAATAGCAACATGCGTATATGGCCTCCCAGCCCTTGTTCCCATCTGTGGACTGTGCAGCAGCTGTAACACGTGGGCATCAAGCAGCTGCTGTCTATTTCTCTCCCTTTCACAGCCATCGCTGAGACAAACAGAACTAGAACCCAGTGTCCAAATAGCTTAATACTCGCCGCCGAGTGTGCTGTGGTCTTTAGTTCAACCCTGGGTCGTGGCCACTTATGCTTTCTCTGGGCCATGCGGCACACACTTGTGGGCCTGGTCGCTTCATAACTGGTCTGACACGTTTGAGACAGGCTTCTCGACCAGACACCTGCAGTAAGTACCAGCAACCCTGCAAGGCCCTGCAGGCCCGGTCCTGCCAGGGCAGTCTTTGCGCTCGCTCTCTAGGCCAGGCTGAAGGCTCCTGCTGCCCCCTTGTGCAGGTCTCTGTGCTGCTCTGGTGTCAGACCCTCACTGCCCATCTGCCCACCACTACTTGCCAGTGCCCTGTGGAAGCCCTCTGCTCCTCCACACCGGCCCACTCGAGGTGGGAATCCTCCAGCTCCCACTACTGTGGTGCATGCATGACAGGCGCTGCTCTGCACTCCCTGGCTCCTCACACAAACTGTGCTTCCCTTCACGGCACTACTACTCCATGGTCTCAGAATGAAAACAGGTTATACCACATGAAACTGGTTGAAGCAACTGGCACAGTTCTGAGCGGACCCCACAGTCCAACTGAAACCAACCCAAGAGAACACTTCTGAGAACGCAGACTTACGAGCCGGGCCACCTGGAGGTTGGCCACAGTGGTGCCCGTGAGCAGCGCGCCGGGCCGAGGGGCTGTGACCGTGGTGAGCTGGGTGCTCTGTTGTGGTGGGGCCTGTGGGGGCTGTGCCTGAACCGGGGGCGTGGGTGGTGGGGGGCCTGGTGGGGCCTGCGAGGGTGCCTGCTGGGGCAGCTGCAGCTTCTGCTTCTGCATCTTGATCAGGTGCTCCTGAAAGACAAATCGGCGCTTTCAGGCACTGAAGGGGCAAGCATGCTCTCCAGGGCCCTGCCGCACCCCTCAGAGGACGCCCGTGCCCTACTGTGGGATGGTTATGAATCTTTTCATGGAAAGCCGAGCTGCTCTGTCACCTCTCACGCAACTCGTAATAGACAGCGTTGTCAACAATAACAACAAAACAACACATAAAATGGCATTCTGTCCCCAAACACAAGAAACAGGCTCTGATGGCCGGCAGGGCTCACACCAAAGCACTGGGGCCTGGCCTCTCACAGATGGGGACACACAGGGTGGCTCTAAGGGTATGGATAGCCTAGAAGCAGCAGCCTGATTGCCGACCCAGCACTTCCTGCCACCCAGTCTCCAGGTGGCTTATTACTTCAGAGGCCACTTCTCAAAAGAAACACGCTGATGGGGTCCGTTAGAAAAGTTACACTGCAGCCCGTGACTACCAGACTTCAGAACTACATGTGAAACTGACTTGCTCGGATTGGGAAGTGAGGGGTAGCGGCCAGTGAGTGGGCGACGGGGCAGGGCGAAGAGTGAGAGGTGGAGGAAGGACTGAACAGTAGCTTGTGTACGAGGCAGCTCCCCCCTGTTGCGCCAGGTCTGAGAGCTCGGCCCCCGAAATTCTCTTCAGCACTGTCCAGCGTAACTGTCTGCAGTGATTAGTGCTGTAGTCTCAGCTACAGGTAGCCAACGAGCACTTGAAATGTGGCCAGTGGACTGAGGAAGTGAGTGTTTTATTATTTCATTTGAATTAATGTAAACGTAAGCAGCCAATGTCAGATACTGAAAACCTCATGACCAGCACCAGAACACTGTCAGAGACGGACGGTGCCAGAAGTTGAGCTCCTTAGGCCGGAAGGCACTCAGAATTAGACTTACAGGAAGCTGCCTTCACAGAGCAGAGCCGACCATAATGGCGTGGATGGAGTAGTCTCCGGGACCTTCATTTACTGATGGGGCATGACTCAAAATGAGAAGAAACGGCGGCAAACATCAGTTAATAATTAGAACGTGGAATGTACAAAGTGTGAGTCTAGGAAAACAGAAGTTATAAAAAAGAAATGGAACACACAGAGATCAACAAGCGAGGTGTTAGTGAGCAGAAACGGACGGGTATTGGCCATTTTAAAGCAGACAGGCACTGGGCTCACTATGCAGGGATGGAGTCCCATCGTCAAGATCTGGGGCAGGATAATGTCCACCCAAGCGCAGGGAAGTCCAGCCAACACAACTGTGATTCAAACCCACGCAACAAAGTCTGCATCCAGTGACGCAGAAATTAAATCCTATCAACACCTTCAGTCTGAACTTGATCAAACATGACATCAAGATGCACTGATAATGATGGGCGATTGGAATACAAAAGTTGGAAACAGGAAAGAACTGCAGCTGGAAAATATGATCTTGGTGATTAAAAACAAAGCTGGAGGTCCTATGGCCGAATTCTGCAAGGCCAATGACTTCTTTATCACAAATACTTTCTGTCAACAACACAAAAGGCAACTTCACACGTGATCTCCAGCTGGAATCAGACGTCACAGTGACTACACCTGGGGGAAGAGATGTGCAAGTTCAGGCTAAAGCTGAAGAAATGAAAACAAGACGCTGAGAGCCAAGATCCAACGTGGAGTCCATCCCATCGGAGTGTTCAGAACATCTCAAGAACAGATCAGACACACGGAACACTCACGGCAGAGACCCGAGGGGCTGTGGGAGGACATCACGAGCACCACGCACGAGGACAAGCAAGAGGTCATTGAGGAGACGGAAGGAAAGAAGCAAGATTAAAGTGGCTGTCAGAAGAGACTCTGAAGCTTCCTCTTAATCACAGGGCAGCTAAGGTCAAAGGGAGAAAAGATGAAGTCAACGAGTTGAATGGCAAATTTCAAAGGACAGCTGGAGAAAAGCAAGTAAAACATTGTAATGAAAGGTGCAAAGACCTAGAGAAAAACAAACAGGAAGAGCACGCTCAGCCTCTCTTAAATGGAAAGAACTCAAGAAAGACAATTAAGTGATGTGTTGCAATACTGAAAGGTTCTTTGGACAAAATCTGGAACGAAACTTGGAAGGCAGATGTGTGACTGACAGACTGACTGGAAGGGACCCATGTATGCGCCCGTTCCAAAGGAAGGGGACCTAACAGACGCCCAGATCACTGACAGCATCACTGAGAGCACACGCAAGTGAACTGTGTCAAGACCTTCCAAGAACGGCTGCAGCAGCACCCTGACAGGAGCCGCCAAAGTTCCCGACCGGATTCAGAAGAGGACGTGAAACAGGGAATGTCATTGCTGATGTCAGATGCATCCTCGGCTGGAACCCGAGAACACCAGAAAGACGTTCACGGTGTCTTATTGACTCTGCCAAGGCATCTACCTGTGTGGATCAAGACAAAGTAGGGAATGAGAAGTCCAGTACATCTCACTGGGCTTGTGCCGAACTTGTACATCAATCAAGGGGCAGTAGTGCGAACAGAACAAGGGAAACTGCATGGCTCAAAATCAAGAAAGTGTGCGTCAGGGTTGTATCTTCTCACTACACTTATTCAATCTGTCTGCTGAGCAAATAATGAGAGAAGCTGGATTCTATGAAGAAGAATGTGGCCTCAGGGACGACAGGAAGGCTCGTTAACAACCTGTGATATGCAGATGACACCACCTTGCTTGCGGAAAGGGAGCAGGACTTGAGGCACTTGCTGACGAAGATCAAGGACTGCAGCCTTTGGCACGGATGACCACTCAAGGCAAAGAAGACCCAAATCCTCACAAGTGAACCAGCAGTGGCATCACGACAAACAGAGAAGAGATGGAAGCTGTCAAGGATTGGTCAAGAGACCAAACAACGCACAGCACTGGGTGAATCTGCTGCACAAGACCTCTCAAAGGTGTTGAAAAGCAAGGACGAAGGTGCACCTGACCCGAGCCATGGTATTTTTAATCATCTCACATGCATGTGAAAGCCGTACGACGGACAAGGAAGATCAAAGAATAGGCGAATTTGACCAACGGTGCTGGCAAAGAACACTCAAAGTACCATGGACTGCCAAAAGAACCAATCTGTCTTGGGAGAGGTACAGCCAGAATATGCTACTTAGAGGAAAGGATGGTGAGACTTCATCTCACCTGCTGCCAGGTGAGACCTGTCCCCGGAGGGACATCATGCTAGAGCAGAGGGCAGCCAAACAGAAGAAGCCCGTCCGTGAGACGGATCGACACAGTGGCTGCTACCATGGGCTCACACTTCACAGTCAGGAAGACGGTGCAGGACTGGGCAGTGTTTTGTTCTGCTGTACACAGTAGGGATGCTATGAGTCAGTTCTGACTCGACGTCACTCAACAGCAGCAGCCAGTGAGGCTAGTATACTGGCAAGTAGTCCCAAGGACTCAAGGTAGCTGGGGGCTGAAACAAGACCGAGGGAGCTCGCTCGACCTCACAGTGCTGCTTGTTTGACCCCGGCCAATATGTTCTGCCCCATTCCCACCCATGGCGGTTACAGAGAACCCTTCCGGCCAAGACAAAGGCAGTCAAAGAGACCATAGCACAGGCGGCACAGACCAGCCAGAGCAGGCCCGCTGGGACACTGGGGGCCAGACTTGGAGAAGCATGTGTATCCCTGCCTCCTGTGGGAAGTGAGCAGGAAGGCTGGAAACAGGCACAGACCCCAGAGCGTAGAGATGCCTGAGAGCCAACACTGCAGGGAGCATGCCCTGCCCTGCAGTGCCCTCACACAGGAGCACACAGGCACACGAGGCTGGTCTGGAAAGCCGCTCACCGGGGTCAACTTCCCAACGGTTTTGATCTGGGCTGGAGACGGGGCTTGGCCCTGCACCTGCGGGACCTGCACCTGCGAGGCTGCTGGCTGTTGCTGCTGCTGCTGCTGCCGGAGGAGCTGGAAGTGGGCGGGCGTGATGGTCTTTCCCGGGAGCTGCACCCCTGTGGCTGGAAAAGAGGAGGCTCATGAGAGCTGGCCGTGGGTCCCCTGGCACCACCACTTTGCAGAGAGGAGGCTTTACCTTGAGACACCTGAGTCACCAGAGAGCGGGCTGGGGCCTGCACGGGTGTCAGATTGGTAGTGACCACTGCAGGGGTGGTGACAGATGTGACAGCCCGTACGCCCTGAGTTGTCGCCATGGATACCAGGTCAGTGGAAGCTGTGGCGGGGGAGCCCACGGCTCGGGGCTGGGTGTGGACCACCTGAGCAGGTGTGGAGCCGCCAGATGCCTAAAAGAGGAAGTGATGACACGACGTGCATGCGCTCAGGTCTCTGCTTGGTGGGAAGAGGCAGCGCCAATGCTGAAACCAGGGGTGACACGCCCTAGACCTTGGCCCCTGACCACTGCAGAGTACTGTGAGACCGGTCCCAGGAAGCCCGAACATGAGTGGGGCAAGGGCCCATAGCTCTGGGCAGCTTATCTGATAGCACCACCTACCCCTGCTAGGCTGCCAGGTTCCTCTGGCCCCACTCAGACTCTGGCCCCAAGAAGGAATATTAAAAAAACTCCTGACCCACCCTGCCCCTGTGTCACCCTCAAGTGCCCTATCCTGGCACCCAAGTGTCCACCATAGCAATCCCTGGTCTAAGGGAGGTCAGGATCAAATGGGGCTCAAAGCCTAGGGACCCCTGGGTTCCTGCCTGAGTGAGAGCACCCCATGTCCACTCTGCCTCCGGAGACCTTGACATCTGACCAGCAGGTGAAGCAGCAGCCAATGCAGCAAAGGCACAAAACCTTGGCTAGCCACCCTTTTCGACCCTCAGCAAAGCTGATGCCAACCCCTAGGATGACCAGGGAGGGGGCAGCAGACACCGGGAGCCCCTGAGGGCACAGGTACTGCCCTGCGTCCACTGGCCCTCTCACACACGTCCTCCTCAGCCCCGCACCCTCAAACTGTGTGGCAGTGCTGTGAGGTGACCTGACACCTTCTCATGGCCCACCTACTCAGGGACCTTGTCAGACCCCTGCCCCCTCAGACGGGTCTGAGGAAGACATTCCCCCTGCCCAAGCCGGCCCTGAAGACACCCGGTGCCCAGGTCTGGTCACAGCCCATCAGCAGTCACTCTCTCATTGAGAGAACATGCGACACCCCACACACACACCTCCCCTCCCCCAGGGTCTACCCTGGCAGGGTCACTCACAGGGAGAGCTCCAGGCCCCACGGGGGAGGCGAGGCGCTTGTTGATGGACTGGAAGGTGGTGGCTGGGACGCCGGCGATGGTGTTCACGATCACGTTTCCACTCACAGTGCCTGTGGGCAGAGGCGCGTGAGAAGAGGCGGAGAGAGGCCCCAGTGTGGTCTCAGTGCACTCTTGGGCTCGCTTACCAGTGGCCATGCTCGTCCCTGTGACCGACGTTTTGATGGTGCCCGCCTGTGAGGGGAAAAGGGCTCACCTGAGTGTCTTGCTGACTCGCACCCTTCAGGTGCATCTGCCCCTTTGGCTCGCTTCCCATCTGACTGGTGCACACACACAGCCAGACCCACCAGAGCCAGTGGGGAGGCCTTGGGCCCAGGGGCCTTCCCCTTGCACACTCCCTGTTAGCTCCACGGCCCGGAAGAGTGTGTGACTGCTCTACACGCTTCAAGGAGACAAGTGGTGTGTCCCTCAGTTTTCAGGGTTCTTCACCCCTAACTCCCCACTGCTTCTCTGAGAAGAGATGCCTGGGCCTCTCAGGGAGCGTACGTGTGCGTGCGAACGTGACTGTGCCCTTGGTCATGGTCAAGGATGGGCAAGCCCACCATGTCCAGGCAGATGGGCCTTGACCTGTCTTCGCTGAGGCGCCCAACAGAAAGCCGAGGCAGTGTGCACCAGGCTGACGGGGGAGGTGGCCACTCACCAACACGGCAGTGCCGCCTCCCGTGGTGATTGCTGGCTGTGCTTTTGGCTGTGGCTGTGGCGGCGGGGGTGGAGGTGGGGGCTGGGCCGGGGCTGGGGCCGGGGCCGGGGTTGGTGCAGGTGGCCCAGTGGTCTGCTGGCTGGCAATCTGCTGAGGCTGGGGCATTGGCGGGGGTGGTGGCTGTGGCGGCGGCGGGGGCTGCTGTGAAGGCTGTGCCACGGCTGGCTGCTGGGCCTTCTGCTGGTCGGCCAGGGCCTAGAACGCCAGGAGGGAGGGGAGAGCACGTGAGGGGGGCACCCCGCGAGCAAGCACCGCTCGGCACCCAACCAGAAGAAGCCGAGCTGCACCTTCTTCTCTTTGGCGATTCGCTCCGCGCGAAGGGATGCGACCTGGATCGGGGGCAGGGGCTTGTCGTAGTTGACCCCACTGAAAGGAGAAGAGAGAAATGGAGATTACAGGCATGCATTCTAAAACACGAGTGTGGCTCCCAGCACAGGTGCTCCCCACGAGGGTGCCACTGGCCCAGGCCTGCAGTGTGGGCAGTGGGCAGTGACAGGAGGAGGCAGGGCAGCCCAGCTGGTGCGTCAGATGCCGCCCTCAGAGCACGCAGCACCCCCAGCAAGGGCCTGTCTCACCCAGCTGGCTCCACACACCTTCGTACACTCTCCCTAGGGCACCATCCCAGGGTCGCCGAAGCAGATGCTGCCCCATCCCTGAGCATGGGGAAGGAGAGCCTGGGCCAGAGAGGGCCACAGGACACAGATACCTTTCCGCCAGCACGGAGGCGTGCTTGGGGTTCTTCTGGAAGGGATTCATGCCGAGCCTGTAGGACGGAGACAGAGAGCACAGTGACTACACGGGGCACGGGCACAAGCAGGGAGTGGGGAGGCAGTGAGTATGTGTGTGTGTGTCCAGCCCGCCTGGTAGGGACGCACAGTGGCTTTATCGGGGGGCTCCTCTTGCCCGCGGTCATCTTCATCAAGTCAAAGTGGCTGGAGTACAACTGCGTGTGGCTGGCGTTCTCGTCCTGGGCGTACATCTGGCTTGTGCGCAGGGGGCGGTTGTTCTTACTCTGGAACAAAGTGGACAACGAGGCCGCACACTGACCGTCAGCAAGGCATCCATGCAGCAAGCAGCTAGGAAAGGCCCCTGGTGGGCCCAAGTCCTGGGGAAGCCTTCAGGGGGGACCCTCCGCTCACTCAGCTGTACTCTCAACGAATCAGCATCCCCGGCACGTGCAGCAAAGTGCCAAGGATGTTGACCAACCGCCCTGCCACTGGGTGCTGCTCACTGAGACAGTGGAGCTGTTGGCGTGTCCGGGCACTCCCGGTGATGCTGGCACTGAGGCCTGGCACAGGGGTGCTCACCTTGCCCTCCTCTCGTGGGATGATGACATTCTCATAGCGGTTCCGGCACTGTTTGGAGGAGCGGTAAATGCGGCTGCACGAGTTCACCACATCGCTGACCAGGTCCCAGTTGGGTGTGTGAGCAGGCGACACAATCGTGAGGTTCAGGGGGAGCTCCAGCAGCTGCTTCACAGCCTGGAGACGGGGTGCAAGGAAGGTCATGAGTGTGGAGCCATACAGGCACCCACAGCACATGCTGTGACACCGCTGGGCAGTGGACACCCATGCCTACATCCCCAGGCCTGGCCCCCATGCTGCACACCTGCAGGAGAGCCCAGTCCTCACTGATGAGCCACTCGGGGCTGTCCTGGCCTGACTCGGCCGCGGGTTTGGCAAATGTAGGCAGGGGCTTGGCGAACTGCGTCTGCTGCTTCAGCAGGATGTTCTTCTTCTGCTCCTTGCCCTCTCGGCGCACCTTCAGCAGGCCTGGCACAGCGCGGTCGAACAGGGAGCGAGGTGGCACCACGGCCTCCCCGTGCCGCTGCTTCTTCTTCCTGCCTGCAGCTGGGCAGAGCGACACCCAGGTCCAGGCTCAGACACAGCGCACGGGGCCACGGAAGGGGAACTGGTGGTGGTGGTGGGGGGTGCAGAGCAACCAGGAAGAATGCCGTGGCTGTGAGCGTGTGTACACAGAGCTGCCAAGTGGCCAGGGCACCCTCACACAGGCCAAGAAGCCAGGAGACATGTGCTGACCTGGCTGGCAACACTCGCCCTGCGGTCTTGTGGACAGCCAGAGGGAGTGAGGCGGGGAGGATGGGCTGTGTACCTGAGGGGTCGGTCTTATGTCGTTTCCGCTCCTTCCGCACATACACAGGAGGCAGCTTGGACTCGGGGATGGGGATGGCTTCATACATGAGGCACAGGACAGAGTCCGTGTAGATGTCACTGTCATCCTGAGGGGGCGTGGGCGGCGTCCACAGCTGCACACACAGGGAGAGGCCATCAGCTGCATCCCTAAAGGCTGGCGAGTGCAGAAGGGGATGCACATGCAGCCACTCACCGGCATGACTTCGGTCTGTCCGTCCGCATCTTCATAGATGTACTCCTGTGGGGAGCGTGGGCGGGTGTCATTAGGGTTCCAACACACACTCTGCAGCAGCACTAAGGAGACTGCCATCAGCCAGTCGGCTGGCAGAGAGCCCCAAAGGGAATGCTACAACAGCGGCTGCTAAGCCCAGAGCTCAAACGGATGCGGGAGGAGGGTTCTCCTGAGAGCAGCACGCACCATGCTATAGGCATCGATCCGCGTGTAGGTGAGCAGCTCCTCTTGCGGCCCCTCCTCCCACGCCCGTGCCGCCCACTCCTGCAGAGCCTTCATGTTCTGGGCCTCCCACTCCTGCATGGACGCCAAGGCCAAGTCCTGAGGAAGAACAGCAGAGCGCACGCCCCGTCAGCCGCATGTCCCTGCCGGCGCCCCTCAGGCAGACAGAAACCTCTGCCTCTCCCCTAGCTTTTCCTCTCTCTCTCTGACACACACACACACACACACACACACACACACACAACCCCCCCCTCCCCCCACGACCCTCGCTGTAAGCTAGTCTCTAGTTTCGGGCGCGGGCTTTGTTTTCTGTCTTGTCAAGTCTGTGGCACCCACAGGGACTTCACATAAACTTCACCTTGAGCACAGCCGATGCTCTTACCTCACTGGTTCGCTCTCTTTCTTGCTCAATCGAAGTATGAAATAGCTCCAGGTAATTCAGCGCGTACTTCTCTATGGGTGTTAGCTGTATCGACAGGGGTGTTAAGAGTCGGCTCCGAAAGGCCGAGGGAATCCCCTGGAGGACCCTCCCCCAGCCCCACCACAGCAGAGGTTGCTGCTGCTCCGAGTAACCACAAAGGCGTGCGCGAGGGGTGGCTGTGCCCACCAAGAAGACCCTGGCGGTACCAGCACGGGCAGCTCCCCACCTGCTCCATGAAGTCCGCGAGCTCCTCTAACTGAGACGGCTCCTCAGGGAGTCTCGGGCGGTCTCCGTCTGCCGAGGCCATGTCGGTCCTCACCCCCAGCACTGCCTCCTCGTAGGACTTCTGAGCATTCTGAGCATCCTGCTCCAAGTACTCAATACTTTTGAGGGCCTGAGGAGAATGACTTACTGTCTCAAACTGGGAGTTTTCCAAAAGAGTTAGCTACAAGGCACACAGTGAACTGATAACAAACGCCAAACAAGCCTCCCTAGAGGGTTTCTGCTGGTTCAGGGACAGAGGGCTGGCTGGGGAGGCGCAGAGACAGAGTTCTAGGTCAGGGTCAGGGAAGGAGGGAGTAGCTCTGAGCGGTTGGAGCCACTCCCGACCTCACAGGGACGGCCCAGCCAGCCTCTCACCTCGATGAACGGCCTTGCGATTTTGGGTGCGATGGTCTCGCTGGCGGCAGGCTCCTGGGAGAGAACCACGAACTCCTCCGCCTTCACAGGGAAGCCCGCGTCCTCCAGGGGTGAGTACACCTCAAACAGCTCCTGGATGGTGCGCTGCGCCCGCCCGCCCGCCCGCGAGAGGAGGGCGTCAGGTCCACCATGGGGGAGGGCAGGGCCACCCAGGGAGCCTCGTCCTCGTCCCGCCCCGCCCAGCTCAGGTACCTGCGTCAGAAAAGCCATGGAGTAGTCGTTTCCCTGGGCTGCCACCTCTCGGATCAAGTCCTTGGTGCCGTTCTTCAATAGCTTCTCCTCGATGGAATTGCCGCTCACAAGCCTATGGGTATGCGGCACAGTGACCACCAAGCCTCCCCTCCCCACTGCCAACGCGGACCTTCACAGGGCCATCTCCACCTGCCCGGCCCCTCCCCTAGCGCCCACACCCCCAGCTTCCCCAGCGGCAACACTGAGCACGTGAACCTGCAGCCTCTCACCTCCCAGCGACTCCCCCCAGTCCGCGGGCACACTCAAGTCTGTGTAGCTTACACAGACAAGCTACAATGGCTGCCACTCAGAACAGGGCCCTGGGGGGTCACGCCAGGTGGGTTTCACTTAATAGGCCTCACCTGGCGATGCCTACGGGCTAGTGCCCGGGAGACTGTGTACTGACACTGGCAACACACACACGAGAGGTGGTCCAACGGACACACCCTCCCCGAAAGTGAGCATCACCATGTGGGGCTGCCTGTTCATCATCTTAAAATGTGACCGAGATGTTATGACGTGGTAAGATTGGCTGCCTATCTGAATTTTAAGTATCTTTTCCAATCTGCTGTCTGCCGGTCAACTACGCTTACCGCATTGCTGTTGTTTTTGAAAACAATGGAATGTTTACTTCACAGTAATCAAAGTTGCCTGCCTTTCCTTAGTTGGGAGTTCGGTTTAGTTCAAATGGCCCCCTCCAGCCCCCGCTCTGTCTTCCTCTCAGGTTCTGTATTGTTCTGAGGTTCCACTGCTCAGTGAGGGAGGCTTCTTCTCTTCCTCTGATCCTCCACATCACCAAGCACAATGTCCTCCAGGGACTGCTAGCTCCTAACAACATGCCCAATGGCCATTAGATGAGGCCTCGCCGTCTTAGCTGCTAAGGAGTGTTTTGGCAGACTGGTTTGTTCTCTGGCCGTCTACCGCACTTTCAGTACTCTTTGCCAACATCCTGATGCAAGCGGGTCTGGTCTTTGTGGGTTTCCCTGTTCCATGGGCATCTTTCACATGCGCATGACGTGATGGAGAACAGCACGGCTTGGTCAGGGCTGCCTTAGCTCTTCCACTGGCTTCTTCTCCCTTAAACACTTTCTACAGGTCTCTTGCAGCACATCTGCCCAAAGCAGTAATACGTGGTTTGGTTTCTTGGCGGCTATTTCCATGGGCATTGATTGTGGATCCAAGTAAAATGAAATCCTTAACAACCTCAAGCCTTTCTCCATTTATCATCATGTTGTCCACTGGTCTTGTTTGTGAGGACTTTTATTTGCTTGCTTTTTAAAAAATAAATCATTTAATTGGGGGCTCTCACAACTCTTACAATAATCCACACATCAGCTGCTGTTTGGCCTTGCGGAGCGAGCACTGTCTCTGACTTCATAGGTATTTAACAACAGACTCCAGGAGGACGACGTGCAACCCCCAAAACGGCATGCTATTTATCTGCGGAGAATGTAAACATGGAAAATGAAATAAAATCCAGGGATCCAATCAGACGCAGAGAATGTGGATACAGAATAATGTACAAGAAAAGGACTAAAAGATTGGTGGTTTTTGATGCTCGATGAAGCGTGAATTCAGAGAACATCTGCACATGTGTTGGATTTGCCGTGCTGTTGTTTGACTTTCGGATAATGCACTCCGAATTTAATGGTATACATATGGTCTCATTTAGTTTCAAAAAACAAATTGTATTCAGGTGTAAATTATTTTTCATTCGAAAAAAAAATCTATACATCAACTGTATCAAGCACATTTGG